CGTCGAATTTAACTTTGAACGTCTTTAAAGTTATTCCACTTGTCGTTCGTGAAAATGTTCACTCATTAACTATTGAGATAAATATTCTTGTAACATAAATATAACCCTTAACCCAGTGGGGTAGGTAGAAATTACGATATTCCATTTGGAACATTTATACGCATGTCAATTTTTAATCGCTAATGGTGTGTGTACAAATAATACATTGTTGTAATTCAGCACGTTCTTTGTTAACGGCATTATTGAGATCTACAATGCACTAAGTCTTTCCAACTTGTACGTGCTTCTGCCTTTTTTATTAAGACCAGCTTTAACTTTACGTATTTATTATATTACATGTGTAATTATTATTGTGAATTACCACTTTTTATATCGATGTCAAATATATACATATTCGATAAAATTTAAAATATCAATAAGATATTAGACAATTAAAATAATGAGTGGTAGTGCCCGCTTTAACATCTTAGCACGAATTGGCCGGCACGCCCGGTGTTATACCACGACCACACAGAAGACAGGCGTGAAATGAAACCAATGCTGTGTTTCGTCTGATGAGTGTGGTGCCGGAGGCCTAATTTAAGTCACTTTCTCTTTACCACCCTTTTCTTATGTGTGGATGGAAAGGGGAAGTGGATTTGACGATGGAGGAGATGCATAGGAAGAGGAGATATCCTCTTTATGTGCGTCTCCTCCACCGTCGGATAAGGGTAGGCGATGCATCTGCACTTGCAGATGTCTATGGGCAGCGGTCGCTTCGCCATTTTGGCGAATTCAGGTAGCCGCTTGCTCGTTTGCCATCTAATGTTATAAAAAAAATATTTTTTCCTTTAATACAAATTTTCCAGAACAAACTTTTAATGGTGTTAAATTAAAGTTGCGATTCTCCTAACTTATAGCACTTGGCGGTTGCTAATTTCGCGGGCCTCATTAAGAACTTTCATTAATCAAGAATCAAGGCTTTTTATTTGCAGACTTTTTAACTTAACAAATTTATCCTGGAAATTATTTACAAAGGTGAAAACACAGAATCACCTCATCATTATTAGTGCACTTTTAACAGAATACTAGATTTCACCAGCGTCTCCGTCCGTCCGTATTAAAATGTGCTCTTCCAAACTATCTTCTACATCTATACCAAATTTCACCGAGAGTGAGAAACATCCATCCCTAAACGGAAAAAATAGTATCTCATGTCCGTCTCTTGGCTTTAAGCTACCTCCAGACCAATTTTCAGCAATATCGGTAAAGCCATTATTGAGCTATAAATAGTGTAACTAACACGACTTTCTTTATTTCTTTCTTTCTTTTTTTCTTTATGACTTTCTTTCTTTATTTATATATACAGAATGTATACGTGTATACGAGTATACATATATACCATTTATATGTAATGTTTAATAAACTCTGAAATAATAACCATAGCAACGTTTAACGTGAATTTGTGAGAAAGAAACAGATTTAAATCTCTAAATTTGGTAGGCTCGTATGTAACAGTACCGCGTAACAGTATTAAAACATCAACAGCGCCCTAATAATTCGTAGAAGGCTTTATTTACAAGGTAAATTAACTAAAAGACTACCTAAAATTACCAGGTTAATACTAGCGTCAATACAATTTTATAAATAATATTCACCAGTACTAAAGTAGGTTAAAGTTATGCAGCAATGTCACGTGCAACACATAGGCTAGCGGTGGTCAGGCTTCATCTTATAAAGCCATCTTGTATTCCAGCGCCGACTCCCGAGAGACTCACGCCCACGGATGCAAGGTTTACATCGGAATTTTATTTAAGAGCAAGTTCAAATGCGTTAAATATAAAAATTCAACTAATTTGAAATATCCAATGACATTTTATATTGTTATTTATTAACCTAGATAGATGCATAAATGTGGTTAGGCTACTAGGGTAGAAGACTCAAGGAGCTATGAATTAATTTTGAGAGTTTTTTCTTTATGAAGTAAGTAAAACCAGATATACAATCCTTACATAAGAAGGTGATGACTCTATCACACGACTTAAATGACAGAGAGTTTTTAAGAGTTTGATTTAAAAAAAGATGGATTCAGCGATTCAAAAATTTTACGTTTATCACTTTTTTAAATAGAACTAAATTTTTCAATTTCGTTTCGTTCCGTTTTTTTATTTGAATTAAACATTGAAAAAGTCGACACGGCGTTTTACCAAAAAGTAACGCGAAATAACTAGTCTATTAAACTGAATCCAATTTGCGATGCTTTGCGTGTCGCGGCTTTTTGATACGGGGTTATTTTAAATGACGCACCGCACAAAATTGATAGTAAAAATATTTTTATTGCAATTTTTTTAATAGTTTCTATCGAATGTTTAACATTTTATATGTCGTATTAATTATCTCAACGCTATTCCACAACCTAAAATAAGAAGTAAGAAACAAAACAAAATAGGATATCTATAGTAAAATATATGACATAAAACAAAGTTTATCGTAATTGCGGTCTGTAGATACGTTTTATTTATATTTGAAACGTTAATACCTTATTATGTTACTGCTCTAGATATAGAAGTGTTCATTTAACCAAAAGCGGTCAAGATCGTTTAGGGATTCGCTTACTTCGACATATAAATGATTAATATATTGAAGATTTTTTAAAGGTCGAAAGTGTAAGGTTAAAGTGGTTGTTGAAGTTTGCATGAATTCACAGAGAAAAACATGGCACGAAATTTTCTGAGAAAGTGTTCAAACAAATTTTCTTGATAGGCTTTCATATCAGTGATGTATCGAGTTATTCTTTACAATGATTATAGTGGCAACGAGCATCCGGCCACCTAAATCCGTATATAGGGCGAAACGACCGCTGCCCATAGACATCCGCAATTGCAGATGCGTTACCTACCATTATCCGACGGAGGAGAAGACGCACAAAAAGAGGACACTTCACCTTCCTGTGCATCTCCTCCATCGTCAAATCCACTTCCCCGTCCTCTCATTATATGAAAAGGGTGGTAAAGAGAAAATGACTTTAATTAGGCTTCAGGTACCACACTCAACAGACGAAACACGGAATTGCTTCCATTTCACGCCTGTCTCCTGTGTGGTCGTGGTATTACACCGGGCGTGCCGGCCCATTCGTGCTAAGATGTTAAAGAGGGCATTACCACTGTAAAAATGCTATACATTTTGAAGAAACATTGTTCATCTGTTAGTCCGGAAGAAGTAAAAAACACAAAAAATACGTTTCAATTTAATTATATTAGAAGCAGATACTTGTTTACGCGGTAGATGTAATATGAAATAAGCGTAGCTTTAATAAAACCTCGGCGAGTTTTATTAATAATCCATTTACCAATACTTCGTAACTCTTAGCTATAAAATATTAGTTTACAGATTGGCCCACTTTTTCCGCTGAGAGGGGGATTGATTTTTACTCTTTTTATCCCTTAGTGAGTGCATTTAGATTGGCATTTCCTTTTTATAATAAATTCTAATAAGATATTTATTAAAACTCGATAAATTCGTTTACTGGGTCGGGAGGCAACACGCCTACTTTGATTACCCATTTATTTATTTGCTTCGAGAGATTGCTGTTAATATTTCATTTATTTATCGGAATTGAAGGGATATTTCAATATACATTTTTTTTGTATGTTAACAATTTCCAGGGAAAACTTTAAACGAACAGATTAACACGTTTACTGCGACAAGTAAAAGCATAATTCATCATCTGGTGCTGCGGCGGGCCAAAATGCGTCCCCAATGATATTACCGCCAATGCATGGCAGGTCTTTAGACCCACCAGTACTAGGATAGATTAAATTGCTACAATAATTGTGGAAAAGTAATGTATACATTTTATGTAATGTAATGTATACACCTGAGATAATCGTTTTGCACTAGCGAGAGGATATAGTTTTTTTCGTCCGACAAGGTTTAAGTACCGCGTCGGGCCGATATGGGCCTGTTACGCAGTGAGTGTGTTAATTAATTAGTTCAACATTGCTAATATGATGTGAGAATTGACGACAGTTAACGAATGGCGAATAACGCTAATAAAGAAGATGCATATTTAAAGTCAAAAATATATACTAAATCTTTATATCTAAAACGGCACTTTTGATATAATAATAGCATGGTAAATCAAAATGAAGTAAGAACACAAGTATTTCAAATTGCCATTGTTTTTACTGCGAGCTCGCAACATGATTGCCGATGCGGCAATTTTACGAATCAACCCAAATTTCAGTCAACATGTTATAAAGCAATAACTTTCAACAGTAAACAAATTCTTGTTGCAATAACAATGGAATATATATATATATATATATATATCTATATAATTGATACGTTTTGGTGCATTTAAATATTTGTAATATGTTTAAATAAACTCTAAACTACTAGAACTGTCGTTCACTGCATTCAGTAATTTTAAAAAATGCATCTGAGCTTAAATATGTTAAGACTAGCTTTCGCACGCGACTCCGTTTGCGTGGAATAAAAAAAAAATAAAAAAGTAAGTAGTCCACGTGTTCTTCCAGAGAATCCTCTATATCTATGCCAAATTTCACCGAAATACGTTAAGCCGTTTAGGCTACAAACTCTAACAAATATTCATCCATCCATTCATCTAAACTTACGCGTTTATAATATTAGTAAGATAAGCCATAACTTAAAAATATTAAACAATTTTTTTTGGTAAGAAACAAATGGATTTTTGTTTTATTATATGTCCAAATAGTAACACGGGTAAATGAAAGTAAGGCGTGTCGGAGCGAAACCGGTTTTCTGTACCATAATAATACATTTGTAATAGCCTTAAGGTGATCTACTTGCCGCCGCTTTGAGCGAGTACTGCAGAATGCGGACACAGCCCACTCCCTCTTGCGATAAGACCTTGATAATAAGGAAGTTTACTCGTTACTTATTATTAAAAAAAATAAAAAAAAGTTCTTTATCTGCATCAGATTTTAATAAGTGTATGAGGAATGCAAATTAGGAACATTATGAAGGTATTGAATCAACGTACGGTATATTTACATTAAAAGTTTATTTACAAAATTTATCTTCTATCAGATGTCATGCATTTCTTTCGGTGAGTCATATTTTTTTACAATTAACAAAAACGAACAACACGTATATAGTCCACCAACTCACAATATCACAGCGTAACGACACTTAAGAAATGCTCGAGTAACAGTCATGGGCCAGCCCGCTCTATCGACCCCCTGATGATTCGGCAAATTGTTAATCGATGCATGTTTTTTGCTATTACAAACTGTACATCTCGCCGACATCCCCTCTAATAAATTATTTATTTATACTTTGTGGAAAGAGTAAGTATAACCATCAGGCGCTCTGTTGAGGCTGAATTTGCCCGGAGGGAAGAAGCGGCTGGGGGGCGGCGTTGTTGGCTCGTAGTACTGCTGACGAGATTCGGGCTGGTAGGCGGGGGTGTCGTATTGCTGTGATGATAATCCACTGTATTGAGCTTGTTGCACTCCAGGGTAGATGGTGTTCGCCTGGAACTGTGACTGCTGCTGCTGCGGCTGCGGCTGGTACTGAGGCTGGGGAGCCCGGTATTGAGCTTGCGATTGGTACTGAGGTTGAGAGTTGCTGTAGGTCTCCGTTTCGTAGAGTTCAGGGTGGTATTGTCCATCGTCCACACTGGGTTTACCTCCGTAGTTCCTAGGGGCGGCAGGGGCCACGTACTGTTGAGGAGCGTTGTACTGAGGTGCCTTGTAATCCGGTGAGTTGTAACGAGGATCAGGCTGGTATCCAGGAGTGGGCGCAACAGGCTGGGGTGCAGTCGGAATGTGGTCACCGCTGGCTTGGAATCCATTTTTACCGGCAACGTAGTTCACGGTCTTCCTTTGTCCGGTTGGATCAATGTAGGAATAACTGCCTCGTCTGTTGCCATCGGGATCGGTTTCCTCTTTGAAGTCGATGCCGTCCTCTTGTTGGTATGCTGCACCGAATGCTCCATTACCACTTAAGTACCTCGCTTCTTGCAAGATGGCAGCGGTTTTCGGGTCTCCCGCATACTTGGGAACCCTACGTCCGCCCTCTTGTTGCTGGCACACAACTGCCCCTATCACAAACGTTAATACCATGAGCCTATACATTTTGAGCAAATGTGCACTGCTCGCGTGAAAGTCACAAAGTGTGTGGGTGCGGGCCGCAATTCTCGTTTTATACGAGCAGCAACAGCCTTGAAGTTTATTGGAAGGGCTGGTAGGTGCGACCGCGAAAAACTTACATGCGTCTACAATATGTCTCTTGCCCGGAGCGGATATTTACTGGATGTGTCAAGGAAGTGACGACGACATCTTTACATTTACGTACATACGTGAAAAATAAGGCGAATCACCTTCAACTTCAGTAAAAAAGTGAACGTTCTACTATTATCTTAAACCTATTAAACAATTAAATTAATTGAATCCTTGAGTTACATACATTGTTAGGTTTGTATAGACACATTGGCTATAACGTAGTTTAGTAGTATTTTCTATTTGCGGTATTTTGGTGATATATACACCATTAAGTAAAGAAATGCCATGCGTTTAATTAAATATTAATTCAATATATCGTAACTGTATATAATCTAGACCTTAGTACACGTACATTAACCTATAAATTCGATCCATGGGAACTTAGTTAACTAGCACGAGTGTCTGTTCATTCTTTTGTGACCTAACACTATTACTGTAATCGTATTAGAATCTAAACAATGCAATAGCAAATGGAATTAGTTAATTTCACACAGTTACTACGATTCTATTTTTTACTGAGTTCGTGAATTGTGTACATTTCATAATGGTTTCGTGTATTGCCACATATTTTTAATTAATCTATTCTTTACTTAATGTTGGTTAAAATTTATTTAACGATTTAAATAAAAGTTACTGAACATGCCAGAATCCAAATAATAAAAGTAATGACAAATAGTGTAAAGTTTTTGAGATGCAAATGTTTTTTGGTGTTCTAAGAATAGACAAACATACAAACAAATACTTCGCTTTTGTATTTTTTTCGTAATGCAAGGTGACAAACGAGCAAGCGGCCATCTAAATTCGCCAAAATAGCGAAGCATGTGCCACCCGTACTCATTCGCATTAGCACATCTTTATACAAATGAGAAGTTGACGCACAAAATTCGGAAGAACATCCTGTATATTTCTCATACCTATGCGTCCCATCTCCCGCCAAACCTATGTTCCTTCCCATCCCTTCATTGTAAAAACTGTGGAAAGGGAGTGGACAATAGTTACGCCTCCGACAAGCATACTTATCAGGCTATACGTGAAATTACCTCAACTTCTTACATGTATTCTGTGTGATCGTGGTATTGCGCGGGACTGTATAGATTTTATTTGAAAGTTTGAACATGATTGGCACATAGTTTATTAAATAAATGAACCCTTTATCTTTATATATTAGTGGTTTGTGAGTAAAAGTAAACGGGTTTGTATTCTAGTTTTTATGTTTAGCACTTATTATGTTGCTAACACGTACCGGGTCGATTGTGGTTGAAGGACGGTGTCTGTAATGTTTCACAATTCGTGCTCTACATTTTTTGTAAATTATAACATATATCTACTTCTAAATAGCGTTGGTTACGTTAGCACAAGCGATCCATGACAATATGACTTAACGTCAACGTATAAGTAAAGTTGGAGGAAGTGATAAACCAAAATAAATGTTGTACATGTACATGTAGTAAGTGACTATTTGTTTCAAATTCACTAATTGGATAGTGAGATTAAAAAAAAACTCAAAATGACAAATTCGTTATTTTTAAATAATACTATTTTTGTAGTTTGTCTATACTAATATTATAAAGTAGAAATATTTGTATTTTTGTATGTAATAAAATAATTCAAAAACTACTGAACCCATATCAAAATTTCTTGCATCATTAAAAAGTTATTTTAACACTGTGTATCATAGGCTGTATTTGGGTGGGACTCGGGCGAAGTCGCGAACAACAGCTAGTCTATATCTTTATCTTTACTATCAATACTAATATTACAAAGAAGAAAGAATTGGATGTTTGGATTTTTGTACGTATTGATATAACTCAAAAACTACTGGACCGATTTCAAAGATTCTTGCACCATTTATAAGCTACAGTATCGCTGAGTAACGTATAATATGTTTTACCTTTTTTTTATTTCACGCGAGCGAAGTCGCGAGCAACGACTAGTTTGTTTATATTCTCAACGTTTGTTTAATAACTATCCATTTTATACGAATATTGCTTAATTATTTATCACCACACTTCCTGCATCTGATAAAATTAAGGATTGAAATACCGGTTTGACTGCAGTATAAAATATACTCGAAATATCGGCTCTAATTCAGACCTTTGCAATATACGCCCAGATACAATTTAAACGAGTTATTTACAGTTAACATTCATATCTGGAAAGAGACCTTTACTGTTTACGCAATAAAAAAGCTAGAAACTTGTAAAAAGTGACAGTTATAGGAAATTATATTTTTTTAAGTAAAATAAGTTACAAGAATTGATTTCAACGCAATCATATTTTTGCAAAAGTTACAAGTCCAGATAATCAATCAGATCTTATCTAATTTCCTTATAATTTCTTCACTATTGAGGTCTCTAACATCCTCTGTCAACATATCCACTTCGGCAATGTTCATTTCCTTCAAATGCCTCATTGGTGTGAGCGTGGACACAAACTTAATGAGTGACGCCGGGGACATTCTATCATGAGTCAAGTCCGCACGTGGACTTCGACCTTGTTACGTATTCCCAGTTATAATCTACTCGTAGAGTTTATTATTCATGCACTGCTTTAATCTAACTTCGCACCGCTGATGCAATTATTTTGGCGGACGGCGAATATAGCGAATGAGGAAATCCTTTGTCGTTTGACAACTAAAATCATTTTTGGGTATGGGGTAAATTTTTATATGCCCTGGTCTGAAGTGGATCAGGGTTATGTAGGCTTTACCATCTAAAACTGTCGGTGGTCATCTTCTAGTACGATAAGGGATACTGCGGATTCTCCAGTGGAACCTATGACCCAAGGAAGCATGCTTTCCAAAACCAATGTTTTTAAAGAGCACTTGTGAATTATTGAAGAGAATATTCGTTTAATGTGCGTTTATCTAAAAATCGGATATATCTAAATGGTTTGTGCTTCCGTCTTAAGTTGACGTCACGACAAACTTCTTGAGAAAATACAACATTTCGGCTATGGAAAACTGTAATACGAGCTATCAAGTGTTTATTTACCATTGACACTGGCGAATTACCAAAGAAAATATAATTTGTGACCATTTCAAACAAAACATTACTAATCCTTTTTAACTTAAACAGTATTATTACCTTTATTTTGTGGCTTTTAGCTTTGAAATTATTTGATACCGCAAAGGGAACCTTTTGATTCGAGAATACCAAAGGCGGTTGAGGCCTTTACGTATGTTATCCGCTCTTAAGCGCTTTATTGTTAAATAAAAGACTTTGTTAGCGTATTTATATTCCATTACTATCGAACTGAAAATAATATAGAGAATTTAGATGAGAGAAGACATAGTCAAGATATTGACTTTAACAAGGTATATGGTTAAATTATGATTAACATGGAAACAATTACTGGACTAGGCTCAGGCCTACCAGCGGTTGCAGTGCCATAGATGATGATAATGATGATGATGATGATGATGGTGATGATGATGATGATGATGATGATTTGGTTAAATATTAAATGCTTTATGACGCAGCAACCGACTAGATTGTGGTTATGAATGAGTAAGTTAGTGAGAATTGGATACAAGATAGATTTTCAGTTTCTACATTCTTCGCGACTTATCCAATTTGTTATTATTACAATCTTCACAATCTATACTAATATTAAACGGAGGAAACTTTGTTTGATTGTAATGAATAAGCTCAAAAACTACTGTGAACTGAAAAATTCTTTCACCGTTAGAAAGGTAATTTATCTGGGAGTAACATAGACTAGATTTTTTCATTAATATTTCTATTATTTTAAAATTTCACGCGGACAGAGTAGCGGCCAAAAGCTATTTAGCTATATAGTAATTAATTGATATACTTTGTAAGATTAATGACAGATTTAATTACTGCTGGAAACTTTTAAAAAACTATAAATGTGAAGGACATGTGAAGTTTCGCATAGTGCGGTGCACTGGACGATGCTTCACTGCGCTCTCGAAAATTAGAAGAGTCTTGTGTCCGAATAGTTAGTTTTATAGAAAACTAAAAACTGAAAACTTGAGTGTATGTGCTCGCTAGAATTTCCTGGTATTTTTTCAGTGTATAAATAAATATTTTTACTAGTTGCAATATAACAAGAAACGTTGATCTAGTATCCTATTTAAATTCGAAAACAATTTGTGATATTATTGCGTTAGTTAAACTCGTGAAAAATATAACTTAAAAACATTTGTCGTCAATATACATGTTGTAATTTTTTTTTTATGATTTATATGGAATAATATTATACGCAAAATACGCTTTGCTCGATCCATTGTGAGGGTTGAAAGAACTTTGCAATGTCTAAAAAACAGAATAGTGAAGTCCTAGTACTCAAGGACACTTCTAAGAATGTATTCCAATAAATCGTACTTCGTCACAGTAAGTGCAAAGACCTCAACAAAAAGCATTCAATTCGCTACCGTCAGTCAATTCTGAATACGTCTTTTACATCTATGTGAATTGAAGTTTTATGTTAACACTTTTTGTAAATTATTTATGTTATAAATTGATAATTGTTATAATTACCTTGACATTTAAATAATGTAAGGAAGGCAATTTATCCAATATATTCCAATGATAAATTACTTTTAAAAATGTAATTTAAAGCTATTTTATTACTAAACCTTTTTTTCTCAGTTAAGAATTAAATTTTCTTGTAAGAAAAGAATGGAGAGAGTACGTGGGTTTGACACAGAAGACGCATAGGAAATGGAAATATTCTCTTTATGTGCGTCTCCTTCTCCGTCAATTAAGGGTAGGCAATGCATCTGCAATTGCAGATGACCACGGGTAGCGGTTGTTTCGTCAGTTTGGCGGATTCAAGTGGCCGCTCGCTCGTTTGACATCTTGTTATATATAAAATAAATAGAACTAGACATTATAAATAATTACAATTTATTTTTTATGTAAAAAAAACAAGGTAGT